TCTGTCTGTCTGTCTCCGTCTCTCTGTCTCTCTGTCTGTCTGTCTGCCTGTCTGTCTGGCTGTGTGTGTGTGTGTGTGTGTGTGTGTGTCTGTGTGTGTCTGTGTGTGTCTGTGTGTGTCTGTGTCTGTCTGTCTGTCTGTCTGTCTGTCTGTGTCTGTCTGTGTGTGTGTGTGTGTGTGTGTGTGTGTGTAGGAGTGTGTGTGTGTGTGTGGGAGGAGGAGGTGAGGGAGGAGGGGTGAGGAGGTGAGGAGGTGAGGAGGTGGAGGTTGGTGAGGTGAGGTGAGGTGAGGAGGCGGGGCCGCCCCAAAAGTAAGAACCCCACACAATGATGTGGGGAACAAGGCTGCAGAGTGCCGAGATGTGCCGAGGACCGAGCTGCACCGTGCCACATCCGCCGAGGCCGGAGGCCGGGGTCGTCTTGGTCGCGTCGTTGAGCCGGGCAAACGCGAGGCGGCTGAGCCGCGCGTTTGCGCGTTTTTTCTTCACTTGCGGAGAGGTCGGTGAACCGAGAACAAAGGTCAGTGCTGTTTGGCATACTCTTCGCGCAACTTCCTGTGGAATCTCTGCCTTCCATTCAATCGTCATCACTCGTTTCATTTCTGAAGCAACACAACGATCTTCGCGAGTACGCAATTCCCATTGTGTGCTGCACATGTGTTAGCATCTGTTTACTCAATGGCGTCTTCTCCTCTTCCATCTATTTGCTAAGTTTTTGACCGTCACGGGCCTTGCTGTGCTTACCCATACAGACAGGTCTTCATCCTCTTGCAGAACCGAGTGAACCGAGACAAGTTGAAATGGAATTGTAGCTAGTCTCCGCTTCCGGAAGGCAGGCCGCTGGCCTCGGCGCTGAGGGCAGTCTCGCCTCGACAAAACAGAGCCCTCCAAAAAATCTGAGGCTCCTGGACGTGGAGAGCCTGTTCTGTTCGTGCTTCCAATTCGCTTCACTGTCTTTCCTCCCCTTGTCCCAACATGACTCCGTTGCGAGACACAGTGAGGCAACACCCTCAGCACATTCGTCGGAGAGTGTCGGGTTGCGTGTGACACTGATGGCTGGTGCTTTGCAAATTTCAAGACTACATCCAGGAGCTGTCTTTGGGTGGCTGGCTACTTCGTGGCGTGCGCCATGGTCATGTTGCTAATGGGACGTACATCACAGCGTCAAGTGGAGCCGTCAGCAGTTCGGATCACTGTGCCTTTGCCCATGGCGGCAGCAGCTGAAGCCCTGGCCGCACAGGAGAAGGGCAGAGTACAACACAGCATCAAGCCACGGACGGCTCCACCTGATTGCTGGGGCACCACGGGCTGCCACTGCCTCTGGAGAAGTGGCGCAGGCTAGTTAGTTTGTTTGTTCGAAGAGATTGAAACTTTACCTAGAAGTTTGTTTCCAGAGTTTAAACCAGGGTTTGTTTTATTCAAAGAAACTAACTAAATTTGCTTTGGTAGAGTTTACTTCTCCAGAGAGGGAGGGGGTGGGGGGGAAACTAACTAACTCGCTTGGCCGGGGCTTGTTTCTTCGAGCAAAAACTAGCTCGCAAGGGCAGAGTTTTTCTCCGGAAAACAACAAACGTTTGGGGGTCATTTTTGTTTTGGTCTTGAAGAGCCAGGTTTGGGGGGAGGGGAAACAAACTAACTCCGAAACTCTGGCCCGACGAGTTGTTTCGGCGGGCACAAACAAACTCCGACCAGGTGAGTTTGTTTCAGCGGTGCAAAAACAAACTCCGATGGTAGAAGCTTGTGTGTTTCAGGGACGCTAGGGGGAGTGGCTTGGGCGCCGGGGGTGCAGGGGGGTTTGTTTCTCCTACAAAAAACAAACTCTG